CTCGCTCGTCATGTCGTTGTGCACCTGCACGCGGAGCCGGGAGCACACGGGGTGGTGGTGGTGATGGTGATGATGGTGGTGGTGATGGTGGTGGTGGTGGTGATGATGGTGGTGATGGTGGTGGTGATGGTGGTGATGGTGTGATGGTGGTGGTGATGGGGGTGGTGGTGGTGATGATGGTGGGTGTGTGATGGTGGTGGTGGTGATGGTGATGGTGGGGAACAGTGGTAGAGGACACTGGGTGAGGTGGTGGTGATGGTGGTGGCGGTGATGATGGTGGTGATGGTGGTGATGATGGTGGTGGGGAACAGTGGTAGAGGACACGGGGTGATGGTGGTGGCGGTGATGATGGTGGTGGTGTCAATGTCAGTGGTGTAGGGGGTCAAGGGAACAGAGGTTCGGCAACCGAAATGACAAATACAGCTAATTTGTTTTCGGTCAAATCCAGTAAAACAAAAAAATTCAAGAGCCGCGATGCACGTGGACACGAGACGGTGTTCCTCTATAAAACAACCCAAAACCACAACATTTATTTATACTGCAGGAGAAATTCTCTGAGCTGTAAAGCTCTTTTCTTCACGGATGTTCCAGCAGGGGCATCATGAGGGTTGCCCCCCCCCCCCCCTGGGTTTAGGGGTTCAGATAACTGTGAGGAGCCAGGCAGAGCCCGCTGGGGGTTATCATGCTGCGGGCTAGTTCGTGGCGGCTGCAAGGGGCACGTGTCGGCCAACACGTGCCACGTTCATCGGGCATCTCGACGAGGATTTCCTTGGGGGATGTGCGCTGCATCGCCCCCCCCCCCCCCGCCGCCGCCGCAACCAGGCGGGCCGGAGTTGGTCAGTGCCGGATGATCGGAATAGCAAAAGTAGCTATTACATAGTAGCTACTACAACTATGGGTGCTACATATGTAGTAGTAGCTACTAGTACTACTACTAGTAGTAGCTACTACATATGTAGCTGCTACATATGTAGCACCTACGGGCCCCGCACTTTCAAGGGCCCTGCTCTAAATGCTTTCAAGCTATCAATTCATATTCAGTGATCCTGCACGTGCTCTATTACTATAGTACTATACCGCCTTAAACTTTTACGAACGACTGTGTGTTTAAGGTTAGCGATTTGTCGTATTATCTGGCTGTATAGCAAATGAAAAAATACAATTGCTTTACTATGCAAGGTAACCATTTATGTGTTTTAATATTGATGTGTTTTGTTTTTAGGGCCCCTCCATAACATCGCGTGCTCCAGGCCCCGCACTAAATTCATCCGGTACTGGATTTGGGTATTCTGTGATGAAAATCCGCGTCTTTCGTTACTTGCCATCTCCGTTGCTGCAAAGCTCCATCCTCCCCCCCCCACCACTCCCACCCAACCCACCCATGCACCCTCTCTTCCCCCCTATATAAATAATAAATAACTCAGAGACGACATAAATAGGGAGACTGTAGCTCCCACAAGGCCACCCCGCCTCCCACTCGCACAGAGCGCGCGCGCGGTGCGTAATGAGAGAGCCTCCCCATTCATTCGCTTCTTCATTCATGCATTCGTTCGTCACTCGTTCAGGCGTGCATTCAGTATCGTCCATCTAGTCATTCACCTCACCCATGTATGAATGCATCCATTCCCTCATTGATGTGCCAGTTCGCTCATCCACCCGTTCATTCACTCATCCATTCATTCACTTAGACGTTCATCAGAGGGTGGTGGGAGATGCAGGATGGGTTTGCAGGGCAACCTGATCTGCCCTCCCTCCCCTATCTCTTTTTTTTTTACAATCAGTGGAAACAAGAAGATGCTCGGTGTAGCCGGCACTTTGCTTCGTTCATCATTTCGTAATTATTTTTTAATAACTTTGCTTTATGTAAACCCCCACCTCTCGCTCACTCTCTCCCCCTCTCCTCGCTCTCCCTTCTCTCCCATATCCTCCCCTTCTCCCCCTCTTGAGATCTCGTCTCTTCCTCCATCTCATCTCTCCCTTCTTCCCCTCTCTCCCCGCACTCCCCTGCTACCTCTCTCCCTCCACTCCCACGTCTGCCTCCTACCTCTTGTTCTCTCTCTCTCCCATCTCCCTCTTGCCTCAATCTCTCACCACTCTCCATTCATCTCCCCTCTGCGTGTCTCTCTCTCCCCCATCACCCTCCGATCTCGCTCTCTCCCCTCTCTCCCCTCTCTCTCTTTTCGCTCTCCCCACTCTCACATCTCCCTTCTACCCCCACCCCCTCCCACTCGCTCCCCCACTCCATCTCCTCCGTGTCTCTCTCTCTTCTCGCCCCTCGTTATGATTCACAGCTGCCTCCCTGGGGCCATGCACACTCACAACACACTTCAACTCGTGTACACACTCACTACACACTCGTGTACACACTCACTACACACTCCATCACACGTACACACTCGTGTACACACTCACTACACACTCCACCACGTGGTGGTGATGAGGGTGGTGGTGGTGAGGGTGGTGGTGGTGAGGGTGGTGGTGGTGGTGAGGGTGGTGGTGATGAGAGTGGTGGTGGTGAGGGTGGTGGTGGTGGCGAGGGTGGTGGTGATGAGGGTGGTGGTGGTGGTGGTGAGGGTGGTGGTGGTGGTGAGGGTGGCGGTGAGGGTGGTGGTGGTAGTGGTGGTGGTAGTGGTGAGGGTAGTGGTGGTGAGGGTGGTGGTGGTGAGGGTAGTGGTGGTGAGGGTGGTGGTGGTAGTGGTGAGGGTAGTGGTGAGGGTAGTGGTGGTGAGGGTGGTGGTGGTGAGGGTAGTGGTGGTAGTGGTGAGGGTAGTGGTGAGGGTAGTGGTGGTGAGGGTGGTGGTGGTAGTGGTGAGGGTAGTGGTGAGGGTGGTGGTGGTGAGGGTGGTGGTGGTAGTGGTGAGGGTAGTGGTGAGGGTGGTGGTGGTGAGGGTGGTGGTGGTGAGGGTAGTGGTGAGGGTAGTAGTGGTGAGGGTAGTGGTGGTGAGGGTGGTGGTGGTAGTGGTGAGGGTGGTGGTGGTGGTGAGGGTGGTGGTGGCCGTGAACGGGAATCGAACTCGCGCAGTGCAGGATGCACACTCAACACCAGCACTAACACCAGCACTAACACTAGCACTAACACTAGCACTAACACCAGCACTAACACTAGCACTAACACTAGCACTAACACTAGCACTAGCACTAACACTAGCACTAACACTAGCACTAACACTAGCACTAACACTAGCACTAACACTAGCACTAACACTAGCACTAGCACTAACACTAGCACTAACACTAGCACTAACACTAGCACTAACACTAGCACTAACACTAACACTAGCACTAACACTAGCACTAGCACTAACACTAGCACTAACACTAGCACTAGCACTAACACTAGCACTAACACTAGCACTAGCACTAACACTAGCAATAACACTAGCACTAACACTAACACTAGCACTAACACTAGCACTAACACTAGCACTAACACTAGCACTAGCACTAACACTAACACTAGCACTAACACTAGCACTAGCACTAACACTAGCACTAACACTAACACTAGCACTAACACTAACACTAGCACTAACACTAGCACTAACACTAGCACTAACACTAGCACTAACACTAGCACTAACACTAGCACTAACACTAGCACTAACACTAACACCAGCACTAACACTAGGTCTAGCACTAGCACTAGCACTAACACTAGCACTAGCACTAACACTAACACCAGCACTAACACTAACACTAGCACTAAACTAGCACTAAACTAGCACTAAACTAACACTAGCACTAAACTAGCACTAAACTAGCACTACACTAACACTAAACCAGCACTAAACTAGCACTAACACCAGCACTAACACTAACACCAGCACTAACACTAGCACTAACACTAACACTAGCACTAACACTAGCACTAGCACTAACACTAGCACTAGCACTAACACTAGCACTAACACTAGCACTAACACTAGCACTACACTAGCACTAGCACTAACACTAGCACTAACACTAGCACTAGCACTAACACTAGCACTAACACTAGCACTAGCACTAACACTAGCACTAACACTAGCACTAACACTAACACTAGCACTAACACTAGCACTAACAGTAGCACTAACACTAGCACTAACACTAGCACTAGCACTAACACTAGCACTAACACTAGCACTAACACTAGCACTAACACTAACACTAGCACTAACACTAGCACTAGCACTAACACTAGCACTAACACTAACACTAGCACTAACACTAACACTAGCACTAACACTAGCACTAGCACTAACACTAACACCAGCACTAACACTAACACTAGCACTAACACTAGCACTAACACTAGCACTAACACTAGCACTAACACTAGCACTAACACTAACACTAACACCAGCACTAACACTAGCACTAACACCAGCACTAACACCAGCACTAACACTAGCACTAACACTAACACTAACACTCGCACTAACACCAGCACTAACACTAACACCAGCACTAACACTAGCACTAACACCAGCACTAACACTAACACCAGCACTAACACTAGCACTAACACTAGCACTAACACTAGCACTAACACTAGCACCAACACCAGCACCAACACCAGCACCAACACCAGCACCAACACCAGCACCAACACTAGCACTAACACTAACACCAGCACTAACACTAACACCAGCACTAACACCAGCACCAACACTTACACCAGCACTAACACCAGCACTAACACCAGCACCAACACTAACACTAGCACTAACACTAGCACTAACACTAGCACTAACACTAACACCAGCACCAACACTAACACTAGCACTAGCACTAACACCAGCACCAACACTAACACTAGCACTAACACTAACACTAACACCAGCACTAACACCAGCACCAACACTAACACTAACACCAGCACTAACACTAGCACTAACACTAGCACTAACACCAGCACCAACACTAACACTAACACTAGCACTAACACTAGCACTAACACTAGCACTAACACCAGCACCAACACTAACACTAACACCATCACCAACACTAACACTAACACCAGCACTAACACCAGCACCAAC